TTAATTGTGGACTCCTGTGATAAACATCCTTTTATTGTAAAACAGATAAACCCATTTCATTCTAGTCATTCACTGGGACATTATACAGCAATGAAAATCAATGGATTATTGCTACATACAACATGGATGATTCACAAATGTAACTAAGCAAAAGCAGGCAGAACAGACACATTGCATCCACTCAAATAACCTCATTGACTATCAACAAATGAATGGATAGAGAAGCTGTGGTATATTCACGCAACGGAATACTGCACAGCACAGAAAAACAAGGAACTCATAAAATATACAAAATGGAGAGCAGGTCTCCTTGCTTAGTGTGACGTCAGTGCGGCTGGTCCCCTTCCCAGCCTTCCCCCGTATTGAAGGCATGGCTGCCCCCCTGTGGCTGCGGCAGGGACGTTTTGGGACGCTGAAGATTGGGCTCCAAGCAGGAGTGCTTTGAGGACTTGCCTCTACCGTGTCTCTCTTTTCAAAATCAGGGAAGAGTGAAAAAGGGACTGTCACCAAATGCCAAGAAGCAAAGTCCACCAAAAATGCAGGATGCCGCATCTACTGAGCCGTGTGACAATACCACCTACAAGAATCTCCAACACCATGACTACAATGTGTACACCTTCTTAGATTTGAACCTGGACCTCTCAAAATTCAGAATTCCTCAGCCAGCCTCAGGAAGAGAATTCCCAAGGCACTGAGAACTCCGAGGATTGCACTCACATTGTCTTTGCTGCTTTCTTGCTGCAAAAATAAAATCCACTGAACAGTAAAAAAAAAAAATTATACAAAATGGGTGACTCTGGAGGACATTATGGTGAATGAAATATCTCAGTCACAAAAGGACAAATACTGCATAATTCCACTGTTATAAAACAGGACTGACATGCGGGTTGGGAGGAAACTAAAAAAAGAAGATATAAATGATGAACACATCATTGAAACAGATGAGGGAAAGAACTGTTTAAAAGGAATATATGATTAAGTATTATTTGCATGACAACAGTCCAGAGTAAGAGCTGCATAGTAAAGAGGACTCGGGGGTGAGAGGAGAGAGAAAATTGTGCAATAATGAAAGAATCTTTTTAAAGAGAAAAGCTAAGGGAGGCAGTGGAGGGACCAGGGAGGAAAACGTACAACAATGAATGAAAGGAAATCCAAGTTTTCTGTAAACTTTTGTTAAAATATCAAGAAAAATAAAATTTTTAAAAAATAAACTCATTGCCCTCTATTCAGTTCTGAGTCATAACTGGCCCTCCAGCAGATTTCCAAACCATAAATCACACAGGAGACTACCTATCTTTCTCCCAAGGAAATGGTGACAAATTCAAACCACTGAACTCGACATGGACTGTGACACCAGAGCTCCCTACTGAGCGACAGCCATTCTGTAATGTTCAAAACAGCTACAACAGGTCCATTCTGAAGCAGGCAGCACACAGTTTAGGTTGGGGGGTGAGGGGTGGGGCAGAAGGACTAGGGACTCCAAGGGGCATAGCCTAGGGATTCTGTCGTGGGCACCAAGCAGGTGCATTCACCTTGTGAACATCCATTTGATAGGTACTTGTGACATGTGCATTTATAGTTATGTGTGTTAAACAGAAGTAAAAACAGGTATTTTCAAAAGAAGGTGATGATATGAGGAGAGGAAGTGGAAGTAATAAGTCCAAAAGGGACCAGTTGTGCCCCAAAGGGTGCAGAGAAATGGTTTGGCTGACACCCAATCCACACCAGAGGACAGACTCGCCAGGCAGGGTGGTCCTGGAGCCCAAGAACACACTCCAAATCCACACCACACTTGCTGATCCCAGCAAAGTCCCTCTCCCCTCCCTGCTCCACTCTCCCTACACATGCAGCCAGTTCTGAGGCCTCCATCTCACCCATCCTTCATGAAACAATGATGGTGACGGCCTAGCCATCCAGTTCAAAGCCAGACCTGCCAGCCCACTATTCACTCAGCAAATGCACACCCAACATCAGCTATGTTCCAGGCCACAGGAACAGGACAAGTTCTGGAGCCCAAGCAGCATGCTAGGTGGGGGAACCCCCATTCCTAGCTTAAAACTGGTATAGATTGCTCCTTTCAGTTATGGACAACTAAGCCAAACCAGGAAAGGCCTGGATTTATAAAATGTAGATGTACTTTGACTTGCAGTTTCCCCCCCCCCCCATACTGGTGTTTATCGACTGCCAAAAGAACAGATATGTCAGAGTGCTCGTTGCAGGCAAAGATGACAAATCTTCAAATCATACTTTGGACATGTTGTTAGGAAAGGCTACTCCTTGGAGAGGGACATTATGCTTGGAAAGATGGAAAGTCAGTGAAAGTGAGGAAGACCTTCAACCAGATGGATTGACACCGTCACTGTAACTAGAGGCTCCAGTGTGTCGGATATGATGAGGATGACACAGGGTTCAGATCTGTTGTTCATAAGGTCACTGCAGACTTAGTCCACTCAACAACACCTAGCAACAACAGGTATACAAAACAGAAAAAAATTATAGGCACCCTAGGAAAAACGTAATCTCCCACTTAGAAAACAATGGCAGCTTTGAAAGTTGTACACCAACCAAATCTCTTAAATGGCAGCAATCAAAACCAATGCTGGTTCAAAGATGGTAGCCGACTGTACCTCTCTGAATATGCTGCCGTTGTGTGCCACTGATCTAGAAAGGACCGACAGCTGACCCTCCGGCAGGTTCCCCGAGACAGTAAATCACACAGACAAGACTGCTCATCTCTTTCCTGCTGAGCAACTGGGAGTTTCAAACTGTGTACCTGTGGGTTGGCAGCACAGTTCCCTACCACTAAGCTATCAGAGCTCCCCTCTCAATCTGTGCCTTCTCACAGTCCTGCCAATAATCCAGTCTCCCACATCAGGCTCCAGAAAGGGCTCACTATCCTCTTTCCAGTTTCCCGCTAAGAGCTTTGATCTGCAATTTTTCCCATTCAGGTTACCATTCCGGAACACATTTTACAAATTCAGGTCTGTCCCACTTGAGCTGTGCCAGCATGACTGAATCAGTTCACACTGTTTCAAAGTCCCGAAACAAACACAAAATTATTTCAGAGGCACTCATTCTTTGGACATGTAGCTAGGTGAGGATATTCACTGGAAAGTGATATCATGCTTGGAAAGATGGAAGGTCACTGAAAGACTCCCAGCAAGATAAACTGATATGGTGACTTCACCTCACCAGAGATAGGAGAGGATCGACTCAATGGCACCTAACAGTGACAAAGCATTGGGTAAAAAGAACTGAGACCTAAACACCATTGCCTAGGGCTCAGTACAAGTCCTCCAGGAAGTCCTCCTCCTCCAGGAAGCCCTCCCAGATTAGCCAGACTTTCCAGAAAACTGTGTGCCCGCGGGCATATTAATTAACCACTCTGTTCCTTTCTTTTTTTCGCAGCTGGCGGATGTAGGGTGGCAATAGCCCTTGAGTATGGATGGCCCATGATCCTGCCTGTCCCTGATGTGCCCAGATGACCCGGCAGGCCCGGGTCTCTGGGCTAGGTATCAGTGGCCCTGGAATTTCCACCCAGTACTCCGAGGCCTCCTGGTCAGCCCAGATGAAGCAAGCGGTGCAGCAGTGCTCAGGACACGGAGCCCGGACCTCCCGCGCCGCACGCCCCCCCGCGTCTCACCGGTGGAAGGTGAGCTGCTTCCTGCGGCTGCTGTAGCGGTTGCAGCACTGGCGAGCGGCGCAAGACTTCGGCATCTCCTGATGACAGACCCCGCTGCCCCTAACAAAGATGGCTGCACCAGGGCGCGCGGAGCGGGGGGCGGGGCCGCGAGCGGAGGGGCGGGGCCAGAGCGGGACCCTGGAGAGGCGCGTGGCTTGTGGGTGGACGGCGGGGCCTGAGGGCGGGGCGCGGCCCGCTCGGCCTGCGGTGGGGGCAGGGCCTGCCGGAGGGGCGGGGCTGGCGCGACCCGCGGCTCCTCGCCGAGGTGGAGGCGAAGGCAACCCGGGCTGGGGTCGGAGGTCATGGAGGGGCGTCCGCAGGGCTACCTAACCAACCCTCACACAGAGCCCACCCCACCCCAAGCCACTAGTGCCCCTCCTAGCATTGGGAGCCCCAAGGCTTACAGTCTTAGACAGCTGGAAATCAGGAAGCGGTACAACACCCGAAGTAGTCTCAGGATTCTAGGAGGGTGGGTCGTCGCTCTAGTGACGAAGTCCGTAGGGAGCTGAGCGGCTAACCCAAAAGCGCTTCTCCCCAGGAGAAAAAGGGGCATCCTCTGAAAACCCGCTAGCTGGTCCACCGACTTGGTTCCAGCTGGACGGCATTAGTGGAAAGGTGTTAAGACTTCTCCCATTCACTGGAGGAAACACTGGTTGGTGACTAATTGGCCCCGGACTGGAGGATGGTGGACACAGCTCAAGCAGTCATTCTGGGAATTGCGTTGCCAAAGCTTAAAGGAGCAAAGTGGATGCCTCCAAGGTCCATGTGAGGCGGGGGCGTAACCTCAAAAGGATGCCTCTACAAAGCAGGATTATTACACGATTCCACAATCTGAGGACAAATATGACCACCACTCATTTCTATTCATACTGTCATCTTTTTTCCCTCCCCCTTTCTTGAGAAATATAGTCTTAAGGGATATGGGCCTCTTCCATCTTCCTAAATGCTCAGTTTAAACTTCGTCCTAGTCTTTGTGCAATCATGATTTTGGGATGGGATGGAGTGGCAATATACAAAGCTCCTTCAGCACACAACACAAACACCTAACTTCAAAGTAGCATTGTATTTATTTACAAAATATACAGTTTCACAGAAACAGCTTCGCTTTATACACAAACTTTATAATCACACAGAACTATGTAAACGATGTTAAGTGTCTCTGCCTGGCCAAAGCCAAGGGAAGGGACCTGCTTTGGGGTAGATACCTTTCCCTCCCCTCAGGTCATTTGCCACCAACCAGGAGCCCCTAGATGGGCTATATGAAATTTGCATAAAGCTAATTGCAGCTGCCCAGTTCAATCAGAACACAAAAACCAAGGTATCTGCCTTGGGCACCACTTACAGACCTATCTGTTAGAACAATTGAAAGGAAATCAAGGATACAAAAACTGAGATGAACATATATGTTCATGCCTTCCACAGAGACATCTCCAGGCATTGAACTTTCTCACACACTGACCAATTGCCAGTAGTGACACTTCCATCCTTAAATCATGCAAATTCTTAAATGCACTTTTAAAACTGTGGAGTTAAAAAGAAAAAATATTTTTGAACTTTGGTTATTTTCACGGTGAAGACACTGGACAGGCCATGTCACTGGGCAGATCTTTGGCAAATTCCTTTGTGTCTTGGGCATTTGCCCTAGTCAGTAACATCTGTGTGGGATGAGACTCGCCCCTAAACTAGCTCTGATGGTTTCCTCAGGAGAACTTCTCCCTCAGAGAACACCATAAAAACCTAGTTTCAGAAAAGCAGTTTACATGTGAACATAGCAAACAGAATTTTAAGAAGACTGGACTAGCAGTGAAAGTGACTAGGACAAAAGCTGGGCTCTAATGTAATGAGCCATATTAGGGTTCAGTACCTGGGTGCTTCCTTGAGAGAATGTTGAAAAGTCTCCTGGAAGCACCAGCAGGGAGACTACAGGCCTATCCTTCTGTAAATAAATATGACTTACATGGACATTCTTCCTTTTCGTGCCTTGTAAGAAACAATGCTATGAAAACACATCCACCAATTTACAGGGGGGAAAAAAAACACCAAACATTTTTGAGATCAAGTATTTGATCCGCTGAGAGTGAGGTGAGTGATGGAAAAAAAAGCTGGAGCCCAGAACCTCCTGGGTTTTGCACTGCCCTCCTCTGTGGAATTCCAGTTACAAGCTCTCTGGTTTCCCCACAGCTGGCCCACGCAAGTGTCTCCCTAGGATTCCGGTTTGACCTAAGGACCTCTGACAAGCTCAATGGAAGATTCCAAAGAGCACCAATGACATTGTATTACTCACTCACCAATTCAAACCAAACCAGGACCCAAGTACTAACCATGCCCCACGGAACCAGCAGGCCCAGCCTGTATGAAGGGCACACTAATAGTTAACCCACAGGAGATGTCGCTCCTCTGGTTTTCTTTACCTCACTACTGAGAGGAACTCACAAATGTCCCAGTGATTGCCTTGCTTTCAGGTTGCCATCGGAATAAAGTGAGGGGAAGAGATGCAGAGAACTTAACAGCTCCCACACTTGAACATAGCTTGCTTGGGCCCCACCGATACCTCAGACACAAACTGGAGAGAAAGAGCACCTAGCAAGAACTTGGGCAACACTTTTGGCTGTATCGTGCAAAAACAGGTTTTTTTTACATCGTGCAAAACAAGAAACTGCATTATGAACACAGGCCACCTCAAGCCCCCAACCAACCCCCCTTTCAAGTGGCCACATACTGTCCCTTTTTAATGAACAAAACATAGGAATCACTAGTTAGCCCACCACCCCAAGGGTCCAGAGGACTCAGGTTAGCAGACCCTGTGGTGGCTCAGGCAGGTAGAGTGTGAACCACCAAGAAAGGGCCTTGTATGGTTGCTGTACAGATACTTATGGTAAAAGACAAACACTCAAGAAAAAGCTTACATATGGCTGTTCACGTAACAGGCCGGGGAAATTGAAAACTTCCTCTCCCCAACACAGTGGAAGCAGGGATTAACAGCTAGCACTTGTTCCAATCAGCGGGAATTTGCTAACAATGATATTCAAAGTTCACAACACCATGTACCCTCATTTTCCGCTGACCCAAACCCCACTGAGCCTGGGTGTTCGGTCCACCTCCACTGCAGAGAACAGAGCTCTAGCAGTAGCTTTGGCCAGTGAAGATTTTATTCAGTCACTGGCTATGTACAGTTCAGACCTTGGACAACCTATCCTTTTCTTAGGCACCTGGATGGCAGAGGTCTGCCCACACCAGAGCTGAGAGTTCTGTGCTCAACTAAGAAAGGGGCCAAAGGCCCACAGTCCTTTCCAATTCCTCATCCTATCTCCTCACACGCCAGCAGTCAGTCCAGAAACAGCTTTCGGGAGCCCATTCGGGAACGGTTGGAACGACGGATGTCAAACTTGGAGTCCCGGCACTTTTGGCAGACAAACACTTCCGGAACATTGGATTTCCGAATTTTTGCACAGGATAGGTGGATCCAGGTGTGACATTCATTACACTCGATCATGGGGCGGCCAGCAAACGGCTTCATACAGAAGCAGGTGACAAGGTCCCAGGAATCATCATCTGAAAAAGAAGAAAAATGCCCAAGTTGAACAAAAATTTCCTCAGATTCTCTCCCTCAGGGAAAATTGTTTGTCTAATACAACAGAGCATCTGCACTGCCATGAGATCCCATTACTCAACAAATAAATACTACCAACTTTCACTCAACAGTAACATTCTTTCTCTCTGAAAATGCAGTAAATGTAAGACAAAAAGGCAATGATAACAATCATGGTAGCTAGAAATTACCAATGCAATTCAAGAACAATGTTATTTTTACATTCTGAAGTTTGCCTTGGTATCTCTGCTATCTCTAGCTGTGACTAGCCCGTTCATAAGCATCCTGGTATTTTCTTTCCTACACATCTCAATAGAGATGGTGGGCACACCTGAAAAAGGATAAAGTCCTCTGCAGGATCCCTACTGCTCCTGATGCACACGTCCACTTCTTAGGTATGACCTCCCGAGACCCTTGCCTTACGTAGCTTCTCTCCTAACCACCAACCTGTAAGCGCCTCCGTCACCCAGGAACCAACCACTCACCCGAATCCACCATGATATCCTCATCGTTGCCAGTGCTGTCCTCGTCCCGGAACACCACTTGCTTTCCCTGTCGAATGATAGTCCGTTTGCCTTCAGTCTTTATTTCTTTGACCTGATCAGGTGACACTGTGGCACAAGAGCCACTGGAAGGCGTGTCAGAGTCCCAGCCTGAGCTGGGGTCGCTGGGGGCCTGGGGAATATCCTGCAGGGTGGGGCTCGTGGGGGTCTCCACATAGGGGTCAGTAGCTTCTAGCTTCAGCAAGCTCCCCATGTACCCTTCCTTGACAGGCACATCACTATCCCTCCGCTTCCTCTTCTTCTTCTTCTTCAGCTTGTCAGTCTTCTTTCTGTCCAAGAGGAAGTTACTGGGCTTGGCCCGCTGTAAAAGGGTGGGCTGCAGGTGACTGAAGCAGCGGTCAGAAACAGGAAGGGACACTGACGATGGGATGTCAGTGAAAGCAGCATCCCAACCATCACTATCAATGGTGCCCGCAGTGCTGTTGGCAGGGCTGGGGCTGCTCCGCAAAGGCAGTTCCTAAAAAAAAAACAGAGGAATGGAGAGTCCAGTTACTCAGACCAGTTCAGAGAGACAGAGCCAGCCAAACCTACCATCCCCAGTAGAGTGGCTAAACTTTTCAGTTCTCATATGCAATCTGCTTGATGAGGAGTGTTAAATAATACGTTTAATGAGACTTTCCAGGAAGAACAAGAATTTCCAAGTGAGAAATTTTGCTTTCCATTACTGAACCCTCAGCCTTGGTCAATGAACTCAGTAGCTGCTTAACAAAAACCTGTGGAAACAAATGCTGAAGACACTTCCTCACACCACCCCATCTTTCCCTGACAATAAAAAAAAATCTTCCATTCCACTTGTCCTAAGGGAAATATTTCTTAAATAAGTGAACCTGTTAGTTTTGTGTTTTTTCATGTTTGGTTTGGTTTTTTAATTACTATTAATATCAATGAACATTTACAGTGATTTTGGATTTCCATTTATTCACTGTTGCACTTTTCTCCCCACCAACCTCCTTAAGTTAGTTTTAAAACTTTCTTTACTTTTAGGTTTTTGTATTGTGGAATTTTTTTTTTTTTAAGAAATAGAGCTATCTCAAAATATTTAAAAACTGAGGGTAGGTAATTAACTGCTCCCAAACTTGGTGCTTATTACAGACCACTCAAGTATATTATTTAAAAACAGTGGCAACATCTGCTTGGTACAATGAATTATCCACCTATAGAGCTCTCAAGTCAACAGCGCCTAGCAACAAATATAGCAAATGCAAAATATAAACCAATTCGGAATTTTGCCTCCAAGGAATACGGAATTATGTTCTCCTTAGCCTCATTCATAATATTAAGGAGGACCCTGAAGTTGAATGACATTGACCATGTATGCCACTGTCCTGTTCATCTTACAGGAAACAAAAATCCCTTCAGTTAAGTGCAGAGCCAGAACAAATCTAATTCTGATCTTGAGTCCCTGAAGACTCTTTCCAAATAGTATGCATAACATGCTAATTGAGGGGCAGGCAAACAGGCTGAAAGTCAAACTCTTCACTGTTCCCATTTCCTCATCAAAAAAATCCCAGTAACTTGATTCCAAACTCACAGTGACCCTAGAAGGTAGAGTAGAAGTGCCCCAACAGGGTTTCCAAGGCTGTAAATCTTTGCTGACTAAGTCACAATTTTCTCCCGCAAGGCAGCTAATAGTTTTTAAAAAGTCACTCCTTCGAATCCACCAGATGCTCTGCTGGAGAAGGAGGGGCAATCTCCTCCTGTACCAGTCAAATCTAATTCGCCAGTACACACACACCCCAAAAAAAAAAAAAAAAAAAAAAAAAAAAAAAAAAAAAGTTTAGAAAAAAGGAAATTAAAAAAATTTTTTTTTAAAAGTCACTCTTCTGGTTAGCAGCTAATGCTTTACAGCTGTGCCACCAGAGCTCCACAGGGATAAGAGCAAGCATTGAAAAATCCAAACATCACCAAATTCATTGCCATCAAGTCGATTTCAATCACAAGTTATACTACATGACAGGGCAGAACTACCCCGATTTCCAAGGCTGTAATCTTTAAGGGAAAGAAAGCCAAACTACCACATCATTGTCCGGCAGCGTGACGGTGGGTCTGAATCACTGTACTGACTGCAGTTCTAAGGTGAGTACCTAACCACTGTACCACCAGGACTCCTTTACTAATGCCCCTCTCTAGAGTGCTTGACCATAAAAAGCACTCAGTGACAAATGGTTGTCATTAAGAGGAAGAGCCTCTGGGTGGCACAAACAGGTAAGCACTCAAGTGCTAAGCAAAAGGTTGGTTGCTGGAACCCACCCAGCCGCTGCAACCTGGCAACCTGCTTCTTGAAAACCCCTTGAATCCCAGTTCTTCCCTGATACATGAGGTCACCATGAGTCAGAATCAACTGACCGTAGTGGTAGTAAGAGCAAACGGAGAACAACTATAAATGCGTTATTTTCAAAGACCTTTTAACTTTGAAAATTTATTAAAACCATTTTCTAAACATATCTGTATCTTCTAAAGTAGGTTTAAGAACTGTTTTTCAAAAAAGTAGATTTCTAAACCTAATGATATGATCTGCTCTGACATAGTTTACACCTAGAAAACCCTATACAGCATTTCTACTCTATCAGATGGAGTCACTTTGAGTAGAAAATTAACTTAATGGCAGCAAACATAACTACTAGAGCACATGACGGAAAGGCTGGTCTGAGTACCCAAAGGAAAAAAGCCTACAAGACTCTAAAGATTACCTCTTTCGGATAAGGGATGTAGCCGGCATAAGCCAGGACAAAGGTGCAGAACTTGTTGAAATCCTCCACAGTCCTGCGCCTCTTGTAGCTGGGAGAGTACTCCTGTTAAAAGAGAGAAGCAGTGTGAGTATGAAAGCAGATACATATGGAGTAAATAATAGCAACAAAATTAGCCAGACTCAAGTTTTTATTGTCAACTGCTCAAAAACACACTACTGGATTTACAAACACTCTACAAACAAGATAAGGCACATTTAGGTTAAGAAATAACTGTTCTCAGAAAACTAAAAAAAAAAAAAAAAAAGTATCATGATTTTATGCCAAGAATACTGGGAAACTGGTAGGAGATAAAAGCTTGCACAAAAGTCTATTTCTTAGTGCTCATTTGGCATTTTCTTTATTATCTGTGAGCCTCTGTAGTCCTATCAAGAGCAACAGATTTTCCATTTTGAAAATAAACTCCTGTTGAAACTGTAACTAAAGTATTTTAAGAGATTTTAAGAACAAACTGCTTCCTATCCTTCAGGATTTAGGGGGACAGGGATCCTCTCTCCTAGGAAGCTTCCTCACCCAGAGAGGTGAGTCAGCTCCCCTCCATGTCTCCAATGCCCGTGTGCCTGGCATTCAATGTTTCCACATTCAAAGAATAAAACCAAAAGTTGCTCTGTTGGTCCTATTTATGCATCTTAGCTGAACACTAGAGGTTTGGGATTGTGTCCCATGCTACTTCAATCTGGAAACAACTCCTAACAAAATTGCATTTTCTTCCAAGGTACAGGGCAGTATGGGGAGAAAAGTCTCCTTATTCGGAACAAATTCTGAACACAACTGGGCTTTATTGTTTCTACCCTTCTATTTATTGAGGTTTTCTTTCTGCACATTATCCTTTTTGCCGAACTTAGATGTTGAGCTAACACCTCTAGACCCTCGGTACCAACTGTACTCAAGTATACAAGTGCGGTGGAGTCAACTCCTACGGCGCCCCCAAAACCCCTCTTCAGAAGAGAGGTGCTGGCAAGGCGCCGGGATGGGCAATGCCCACAGAGGAAGCTCCGTTTACTTTTCTTTTCTCCACTCCGTTTAGTTAGCAAACCACCTACTCCCCCGCCCATCGGACCAAGGACATTCGGGCCAGGAGCAGCCAGCCCGGGGCTGCGGCGCTGCCTGCAGGGCAAGCTCCGTCCCCCCACTCGCAGGGGACACAGAACCCGTCGGCCCCGGGCGGTTGGGACGGCGAAGCTCCGTCCCAAAACTCTCAGGAAGAAGTTTTCCTTTCGGCGGGGACCGTGCAGATCTGGGTCAGGAACCAAAACGCCGCGCGGGCGGAGGCAGCGGCCAGGTCCGCGCGGGAGGCGCGGTGGGTGGGGGCGCGGGGAGCCACTGGGGGTCTCCGTGCCGCCCCCACGCCACACCCGCCCATAAAGCAGATGGCGGAGCGGCCCCCTTCCCCGCCGCCCGCTCACGGAAACCGTCCCCCACCCCCACCCCCCGCCGCCT